TTTTTTTTTGGCAAAATATTATTTGTTTTTTTAAAGAAATGAAAAAAACAAAGTTACGAAACATAAATAATTTTGAAAAAATATGGTAACTATGGAAACATTACATCGAACTGACATGTTGTTATGGATGTATTTGTTATGAAAATATCTGTCCTGCATCTAAGGTAAATAAAAAAGACAGATCGAATTCAATTACGCGATGGACTTTGAGTAATTTACGTTCGACATGAGGAGAGAATCGATCAAAATGCCGTGGGAGAAAGATGTGAAGTTCGTGTTGGCTTTCGGTAATTTCTTGGGTGTTCTTCCTAACGTCGAAGGCGTGATCAAATGGTGGAAGTATCCAATTTTCTTCACACTTCTTCTCATTTTTCTCCACTCCATTTACGGAAGATACAAGGACATCGAAGACACCGTCATGTTGGTCGTAATATACGTTGGCTACATTTTCATGACACTTCTAAACTTGCTGGCTATCTCAGAGATGACTTTAGTGAGTGGAAGCAATGTTAGTGCAATTATGAAGATGTTGAATGAAACACCGACGAAGGTGGATGGTTTCGAGTGGTTCAAGTTAAAGTTTTCAGTGATAAATGCGTCGATGGTGGCTTACATAATAGGGGATGACATCAATTGGCTGTGGAACGAAGGATTCCCTATGTACCAATACTTTTTGAACGACGGCCTTCAGCTGTATTACATCTTCGTCGCCGTACAATTCGAGTGTTTGATTCTGTGGAACATTGGACAGAGATTCAAGTATTTCAATGATTTGCTGATGACAGACATTACGGATGACAGTGACACTTTGATACGTCACCATGAAGTGCTGTGCGACGCGGCGGATCTGACCAATCGCATATTCGGTTTTCACAATTTGATCTTCATTCTTCACATCGTCTTTAACTTTTTGGCAACTTTCTGCACCGTGACCTACGCATTTTCTGCAATTAAAGTTAAGACCATGATGTTCTGGATCTTCTTTCTGTTGGTGCGTATAAATGATACTAGAAATGTCATTTTTTTTTAGTAATTTTGCACAACCTTTAATATAACTTGTATTAAGTAACGTTAATTACTGACCTAGGCATCTAAATAGTCATTTTGACATGTGTCATTTGAACAGTGTCAAATTGATTTTGAGGTAAAATGTGTAAGAAATAGCATTTTTAAATGAAATAGTTGTCTTTTTTTTTAGTAATTTTGCATATCCTTTAATATAACTTCTATTAAGTAATGTTAATTACTGACCTAGGCATCTAAATTGTCATTTTGACATGTGTCATTTGAACAGTGTCAAATTAATTATGTCGTAAAATGTGTAAGAAATAGCATTTTTAAATGAAATAATTGTCTTTTTCTTAGTAATTTTGCACATCCTTTAATATAACTTCTATTAAGTAATGTTAATTACTGACCTAGGCATTTAAATTGTCATTTTGACAAGTGTCATTTGAACAGTGTCAAATTGATTTTGAGGTAAAATGTGTTAGAAATAGTATTTTTAAATGAAATAATTGTCTTTTTTTTAGTAATTTTGCATATCCTTTAATATAACTTCTATTAAGTAATGTTAATTACTGACTTAGGCATCTAAATTGTCATTTTGACATGTGTCATTTGAACAGTGTCAAATTGATTTTGAGGTAAAATGTGTAAAAAATAGCATTTTTAAATGAAATAATTTTCTTTTTCTTAATAATTTTGCACATCCTTTAATATAACTTCTATTAAGTAATGTTAATTACTGACCTAGATAGATAAGAGACATCTAAATTGTCATTTTGACATGTGTCATTTGAACAGTGTCAAATTAATTATGACGTAAAATGTGTAAGAAATAGCATTTTTAAATGAAATAATTGTCTTTTTTTAGTAATTTTGCATATCCTTTAATATAACTTCTATTAAGTAATGTTAATTACTGACCTAAGCATCTAAATTGTCATTTTGACATGTGTCATTTGAACAGTGTCAAATTGATTTTGACGTAAAATGTGTAAGAAATAGCATTTTTAAATGAAATAATTGCAGAAAAGATGATAAAATTACTTAGTCATTGGTAACGAAGGAGAGTAGAGCAAACAGATTTTTACGATAGACAGAGCGGAGATCATTGCGTAACGGTCGCTATTTTCACGAGGCAAAAAAACATATAATACGAGCAAACACATATTTACTTTAGACTCGAAACTGGAAACGCCACGCCACGCCACATTACACACACACAAACACCCCATGACAATTGTTTTCTTAAGCCTAAACAAACAGAAACATTCAATTATTCGGATGGATAATTCGATGCACACTTTTACGGTCAATTCCGATCGAAATGTCGTGGGACGAAGATGTGAAACTGGTGTCAACTTTCGGCGATCTTCTCGGAGTTCTCCCGAATCCCGACGGTACCATCAGATGGTGGAGGTACCCCAACTTCCTGTTCTGCATGGTCGTCAACGTGATTTCCGCTTCCGGTCGTATAGACCGTTTCCATGGCGTCGAAGTCACCTTATTGATCGGCGGATTCGCGTTCATAGCGATCCTGAATTTACTCTCAATAGCAAACGCCACGAAGTTGAACAGTCTCAACACAAAGAAACTTGTGCAACTTCTCCACGAAACTGAACCCGATCTGAACGGAATCAGACACTTCAAAGTTCTATTCTTTCTGCTCAATTCAACAGTTTTCGGCGTGATGTTGGGATGCGACATCTACTGGATCGCAGACAATCGCTATTACCAAATCAAGTATTACTTGAACGACGGTCTACAGCTCTACTTGATCTTCATCGCCGTGCAGTTCGAGTGCTTGATCTTGTGGAACATCCGGCAAAGATTCAAGATTCTCAACAGAGAATTGTTGAGCTGCGAAGATGCCTCACACTTGATCCAACGGCACGAAGTTCTGTGCGACGCCGTCGATCTGACCAACGAAATGTTCGGATTTCACAATCTGATAGTGATCATCCACATAGTCTTCAATATCCTAGCTGCGGTTGACTTCAAATTCCTGCAGATCTTCGCCACCGAATACGAAGCTATGGCCTTCTGGTTGCTCTACCTCATCGTACGTATTCGATATCATACCTAAAAATTTACAATTTTAAATAGGGCAAAGTACATTGCCTTGTGGAAATCCAAATGATGATAGATGATTTAATTAGAAAAGTACAGACGGTTTTAAATTTTCCAGAAAAGTGGAAAATCTTTGAAATGTAATGCATTTATTGCCTTGTTTTGTGTAACTTGGATTTTCTTTATTATTATTTTGTTTTTTAAATGCAATAACTTCGCGTAGGTCTTTCGCATAATCCGACTGTTTTCCAACGGAATTATTCTCGCACAATCGCATACTTTACAAAACACAAAAAAAAATAATGAAGTTATTTGCGTAGGGATAAAGACGCCAAATTTGCAAACTTAATTTAGTTTGTAACAAAAAAAAAATTGTGTACATTACAATAAGATTTGTGACGCGAAATTTGCGAGGATTAAACAGTCCATATAGTTTGATGCGATGACAATTGCATCGTTTAACAATGATCATTAGCTTTTGTGCTGTGCAAAGAAAAGAAAAAAAAAAAGGATTTTCGTCATCAGCATGTTATTAGTTTTCTGTTGATATCTCGAGAAATGTTTTATGAAATAGCTAAAAAGAATATCGAACTTGTAGGTAAACAATTAAGGAATTTAGGGAATGTATAAATGTTGTTGTGGTATCATTGGTTCTTCCTGTAAATAACTTTGAAAGTTGACTTAAGTTAACAAAAATCGTGCGAACTAATTGAGACAATTTAAAAAATGTTAAGATATTTGTTAATTTGTGAAAGTGTAAGATCACTTAATGGTAATTATAGCACGTAATTATAAAACACCGGCAACTTTATAATACTGTTTATCAAACGGCATCAGCTGATTCCGTAATTAAGTGCATGCAATTAGCGAGGATTTTCGGTGTCAACAAGCGATTCGCGCTCGGTTACAGCCCGACAACGATTGCATACGCTAGAAACAAACAAAAAAAAAAAACCTTGAAACGACACCGAAAATTCAGCAGATCCAATCGAATTTCTACCAAATGCAAGTGTTACGTAAATGAAACTTGTTTATCGAAAAACCCAAATGGAAATTAGATTAAATTGCAATTATTTCGTGTCCATTCTATTCAAATTTTTAAAACGATCAAGTGATCTGTTTCTTAGATGCATTGATAAAAATGATGATTAAGTTGCATAACTTTATTATATAATTTACTTGTATTGTTTGATTGAGTGAGTGAGTGAACTGCGTGATTATTGTGCATACTTATTTATATATCACTGTATACTCACGAGATACGTATGTTTATGTGTATGCGAGAGTTATCAGTTTATTGAATTAAATTAACCCAGAAATGTTATTGAAGAATTATTAATTGGTCGAGAAGATATGGACTGTGTCAGTGTTCTAAATCTCTTTTTATTTTAAATACGCGAAGCAGCTGTTTTCCATCAATCTCAATTTTTGTATTAGGTTATGTTGAATTAGGTTAGGTTTTGTTGAAAATCGTTGATTATAATGTAGTTTGAAGACATTTGAGAATAAATTATTAATATTAATAATGGGAAGTGGATTGGTGGGAAGTTCCGGTTGGTAGGAAATGTTTTCAGTAAGTAATTAAGTTTTTTTTTATAATGTTGTATCAATCGATTGTAATAGGAATTGTGGTAGTTGTTGTAAGATGTCGATCGGTGCGGATCTGCAGGTGCTTCTGCGATGGGGCCACTTCCTCTGCCTCCTCCCCAAATACGACCCAATCACCGGGACTTTTTCGTCGACGCCGCGTCGCTGCTACATCAAACTGACCATCTTCACCGTCTCCTTCATCTACTCGTTCGTCGGTAAACTCACCGTTCCCGATTTCAATAAAACCACACCTCAGTTAATCCTCATCCTCTTCTCGACCATCATCTCGAGCTTCCTCAACCTGTACACGATCTTCGGCTCGTTCAAATGGGCCGTCCCTAAGATTCAACGCCTCTTCGACACCTTCAACGAGATCGACTCGATCCTTCAAGAGGGACGCTCTCATCGCATGCGCTCCTACGTTCCCGTCTTCGGCCTCATCCACGTCTTCATCATCACCATCGTCTTCGTCGCAATGTACATCTGGTACAAGCATATGCTTCTCACGGATTTCCACTACCTCGTGCAGGATCAGCTGCAGTTCTACTACATCTTCATCGGCGTCGCCATCCAGATAAACGTGCTCAGACATATAAAGTGCAGGTTCGAGATCACCAACAGATTGCTGGAAACGATGACCTTCTGCGAAAACCAATCGACGATGAAGAGCATCTTCCTGCTGCACGAGAAACTGTGCAACCTGGTGGACATCTTCAACTCGTTGCACGGTTGGCACATCCTTCTCACCATGAACAATCTCATCGTGGACATCCTGCTCACACTGCAGTTAATGATCAGCAATCTATTCAATAACAGTTTCACGGCGATCTTGCTGATGACCACCTGGACCATGTATCTCGCCGTAAGTAACATAACTTATACACGAGATGGCGTCACAAAATAAGTAATCTTAACCTCAAAGATTGTTCATTTTGACAGTTCCAATTAGAAAGTAATAAGTGTTGCCTATGAAACAAATTCGTTTAACGATCAGTTCATGATCAGCAATCTATTCAATAACAGTTTCACAGCGATCTTGCTGATGACCACCTAAACCACGTATCTCGCCGTAAGTAACATAACTTATACACGAGATAGCGTCACAAAATAAGAAATCTTAATCTCAAACTGTTCTCTTTGACAGTTCCAATTAGAAAGTAATAAGTGTTGCCTATAAAACAGTTTCGTTAAACGATCAGTTCATGATCAGCAATCTTTTCATTAACAGTTTCACAGCGATCTTGCTGATGACCACCTGGACCACGTATCTCGCCGTAAGTAACATAACATCTACACGAGATGGCGTCACAAAATAAGTAATCTTAACCTCAAATTATTCACTTTGACAATTTCAATTAGAAAGTAATAAGTGTTGCCTATGAAACAATTTCGTTAAACGATTAAATTAATCGTTAATGGAAAAACAAACGTGTTTACCTTTGAATGAATAATAGAAATTCTATTTGCGTTGATAATGTAATTAAAGCGATAGAGCATACGTAATGCAATCAATTGGATGGGTCGTGCATATCCAGTTGTCAACATAACGTTTAGTACTCGAAATGTCCGCCGCGAAAACCCTTCACCTTTTGCTGACCTGGAGCTCGTTTCTTTGTCTGTTGCCGCATTACGATGGCGACAAGAGGATTTTCGTCGCGAAACCAATCAGAAATTCCATAAAATTGATCATCTTCTCGCTGCTCTTCGTCTACTGCTTGCACGGCAAGATGACGTCCGGTTTGTATAGCAGCACCGGCGTGCAGATCGTGCTCATCGTAATGTCTTCGGTGTTTTTGATGGGGGTGAGCGTCGTGACGATCCTGGGCTCGTTCAGATGGAACGTGCGAAGGATGCAGACGATTTTCGATACTTTCGATAAAATAGATGCGACGCTTCGGCGGAAAGGCATCAGTAACGATGACAGATTGAAGTGGTTGAGCTTGGGTTTCGTGTTGCTGCATCTTGGGTTGCTGTGCTTACCGCTCCTGGACATCACCAACGGACGGAGACGCGTCAGCTTGTACAGCTATCATTACGTGGTGCTGGACCAGTTGCAGGTGTACGATATATTCGTCATGATTCTGTTCGAGGTTAATCTTCTGCGGCACGTTAAATGGAGATTGCAAGCTGTTAATTATTTGCTTGGGAGAGTGAAATGCTTCGAGAAGGGTTTGGGTGAACTGGTGGAGACGCACCGAAGAGTTTGCGATCTGATCGACGTTTACAACGTGATGCAGGGTTGGCACACCTTGTTTACAATCATCCACTCCATTTTGAACGTGCTGCTGACCATCGAGCACATGATCTCATCCGAATACGAATTGGATGCAACCACTTTGTTGGTGATGATCGTCTGGTCGTCGTATCTGGCTGTAAGTATGGAAAACTACATACTCATTAAACCGGAACTTATTTCATACTTTAACACGTTAAGGACGGCGCTTTTCGGGTTGCCTGCCCCCAAAAAAATTTTCGTGGAGAGAAACGTCAATTATAACTTTTAAACGTTTAAATTTTTCTTATACATTTTTTAATGATATTGAAGCAATTTATAAGAATCAATATGTAACAACTTTATGAAAATTTCAATATTTTTCCCACA